GTGGAGGTGAGTAGGGACAAGAGCTGCCTCTAGGATGGTCCTGAATAGGTAAGCAGGGTGGGTTTGTCTGGATGGGTCCACCATGACAGTCCCCCTGTACTGACTCCTGTGGGGCTGAGCTGTGGCAGGCTTCCCCCCCAACCCCAGTGTCAGACTGGCACAAGAAAAGCACTCGCCTTCTGCCCTGTCAACTCATCAGTCTGAGTTTCCCCAGGGAATGAGCTCTACCTGAGGGATATTGAAAGGGCTAGGAAGTCTGGGATCCACAGACATCATCCCAAAGAAGGGGTCTGGAGCATCTTCCAGGGTCTCCATCATGGCCAGGCGGTTAGGAAGCAGCAGGCTGGGCCTGAGAAACAGTGTGGGCTGTCAAGGACTGAGGCTGAGGCTAAGCAGCAAGGTTCCCCACCAAAGGCTGGGTGGTCCCAGTCCCACAGGGACTAACTCACAGCTCAGGCTCCACCATATCGATGCGGATTTGCAGCTGGGCACGGTGCAGGCGCTCCAGGATGTGCTGGATGTCCTCTGTGGGCAGGGAGGGCAAGGTAGAGAGCCAGCCTAGCTGAGTCCCACTCAGTTCTGCCCCCCTCGGAGCCCTCCCAGCCTTACCTACGAGGTACTGGCATTGTTGAAAGTAGACCCGGATCACACCGATCTGGAGCTGGGCTGAGAGGTAGAGCGAGAAGCGGGGCCGCGGCAGGCCGGGCTGCGGGGGCTGCACTCGGACCAGCACGTAATTGAGGATTTCCTCGCTGGGGGAACAACGTGTCCTGATCACTGCTGCGCCAAGGATTGCCTACCCCAAGCCCCACAAGGACCGGCTCCAAGGACTGCCCACCCCAGTCCATCCCCTAACCCACCCAGGCCCCAGTCCACGCCTCCCTTTTCTGGGCCTTACCAGGTCTTCACCACGTTCACCTTCAGGTATTCCCGCTTCACCAGCCGGCTGCCGCGCGTCGCGGCCAGCCTGGAGGGATAGGGGTGTGGGGATGAAGGGAGCGTCAGACTGGGATCCCTGCGCGCCACTCCCCGCACCCACCCAGCCCCGCCGCCCTTACCAGATGGTGGCGAAGCAGCCGGTGTGGCGCTGAAGGACGTTGGGATAGTAGAACATCGTCCCTCCGGGGTTTCACCTTCGTCTCCACCACTCAATTCGAATTCTTTAGGGCACGGGATTTCCCAACACCGTGGGAGAGAAGTAAGGATCTGGACAGGTGGCGCGCGGGGTGGACCCAGAATACCAAGTAAATGAACTGGTAAACAGTTGGTGGATAAACGATGAGGCAGAAGTAAATGGAGGTGCAGGTTGGATACACAGGAGTTGGGACGCCCCTCTGACGGCCCTGAGAGGATTTGCACGCCGCGTGGGTGCTTCGAACTTACTGGAGCCTTCTGGGGTGGGTGCCAGGTTGGAGATGCAGAGCTCTCGAGAGAGGCCCCGGCTGTGAGCCAGACAGGGTCCCGAGGGAGAACAGGTGTCCTCCGCAGAGATGCCAGGCTCCGGAGCCTTTGCCGTCAGCTTGGGCCCCTGCAGCCCCTGCTGGGTCGCCTTCCCCGCGGGACTGGATCCCGCCGCAGGGAGCGCGCGCTCGGATGCTCTGCGCCTTGTTCCTCGTTAGACGGCGGCGGCCCTCAGAACAGCCAATGAGGACCGGGGTCGGCTTGGGAGCGCTAGTTCCGAGGCGCCAGGGAGCCTTCCTGCGTTCGAGGCCACAGGGGTCTCCCGAGGCCGGCAGCGAGCCAATCGGAAGAACCCTGCGCGCTGCCGGGGCCATTGTGAGGTGTCCTGACCAATGGGCTCTCGTTCTCGCGTCTGGGACTGAGGATTCCTCGGAGGCGCTGCTCTGCGGACCAATGAGCGGCGAGCAAACCCCAGCCTCTCCCTCGCAGCGAACCTGGTAACAGGGGCGCCTCAACCAGCTGGGGGGGTGGGGTCATGCCGGGGGCAACTGCCCTGGCCGGGTTCAGGCGCCTGACCTCCGGTTAGACCCTGCCCTCTCCCTCAGATCACACCAAGTAGCAGTTGACTGACTGTGCCCAGCCTAGGGCCTGTCGTGAGCTGGGGAGGTAGAAACGTGTGCGGTGGCCTTGGAGCCGCCATAGGTCGCTGGGGAAGAAGTCAGGTCTCAGAGGAAGCCGGGTCATTTCCTGACCTTGAGCCATTTAGGTTGTGGGCGTGCCTCTTCCGGCTGTTTTCCAGTTGTGAATGTTCTGGCTGAAACAGGCTTTAGCTTTGTTAGATGCAGGGCACACTTTTCGACCTACAAAAGCCATTTGTTTCAAATAACTCTGTGTGTAAAATTAAGTGGTGTGGTTGTAATTACAAATATCCCTTGTCCCCATGCCTCCTGCCTTTGCACAGCCGTTTCTTTAAGACTGGGCTCTTCCTGAAGCTATGCTGACCCTGTTTTATTTTGTTCCTTCAGTCTGGGAGCTCTTGAGTTTGGGGTCTTGTTTTTTCAATTAGCCCTGGAACCCAGCTCAGTAAATATTTGTCAAATGAATGTGCAATTGCCCTAAATTTACAACCACAGAATGTCAAGGCTGGAAGGGAGTTCATAGTCCAAGCCTTGCCTCTACAGCTGAGAAAAGAGAGGCTCATATTGACTCTTTCTCCCAGACCTCACAGCTCCTTAGTGACAGCCTGCTCTCCTGAATTCCAGTGTCCCCATCCCTCTTCTACTGTGCTTGGCTGGAGTGGCTTCTACATGATACTTACAAATTGTTCCAATCACTGCACATCTGTTGTCAGTGTTCATAAATGTTCACATTGGGGCACAAACATTGCCGCACAAAGATGATAAAGTAGGGGCACCTGCTTTTAAGGTGCTTAGACCCTACTTTAGGAGATCAGCATGGGCCACAGTCATTTGTTCATTCATCCATCCATTCATTCAACGAGTATATATTCCATGCCTACTGCATGGCAGGCTCTCCTCTAGGCACTGCAGATATAGCCATGAACAAAACAAGTCCCTGTTCTCATGGAGTAGGGAAGGAGAAATGATAAACAAGTAGACAAAGAGAAAATGTGAAGTGGTGATCAGTACTATGAAGAAAAATGAGGCAGCAGAGAACAGAGAGTAGTGAGGGCTGCTATTTAGGTAGGGTGCTCAGGGAAGACCTCTCTGAAGGGAGGGGGCAAGTCATGTGCCTACCCGAAGGAAGAGTTTTTTTAGACAAAGGAATGAGCAAGTGCAAAGGTCCTGAGGCAGAAATGTGTTTGGTGGGTTCAAGGAGCCTGGAGCAAAGTGACTGAGAATGGCAAGGGCCACATCACAAGGACCTTGGAGGATTTGGGTTTTACCCTGAGTTGAGATCCGATGGAGGGTTTTGAGCAAGGGAGTGCCATGGTGAGATTTATGTGTTAAGAGGATGTTGGGGCCAGCCCAGTGGCCTAGCAGTTAAGTTCGCACATTCCGCTTCAGCAGCCTGGGTTTCACTGGTTTGGATCCTGGGCACGGACCTACTCACCACTCATCAAGCCATGCTGAGGCAGCGTCCCACATAGAAGAACTACAACTCTACAACTATGACACACAACTATGTACTGGGGCTTTGAGGAGAAAAAAGAAAAAGAGAAAGATTGGCAACAAATGTTAGCACAGGGCCAATCTTCCTCAAAAAAAAACACAAAGATCTCTACTGTAATGAGAGTGGGTTGAAGGTTGACAAGAGTAGAAGCAGAGAAGAAGACGACGTAGAAGGAAGCAGGAAGAAGAGGTGTGACAGACAATGGTGGCATGCTCCAAAATGTCAGATTCTGGACAGATTTTGAAGGACTAATGAGGGGATTTGCCGAGGGATCTGGTGTGGGGTATGAGAGAAAGTGGAATCGAGGAGGTAGCAGATACAGAGAAGGTCCAGGAGGGATTTCAGCAAATTGGGGGCACAACAGGGCTTGTGCCCCTGTGCACTCAGTACCTGATTTCTTCACTGCCAGCGCAGACGCCTGTTTAGGCTCCTGGCTTCTCAGGAGCGTGGTGGGCAAGGCTGAAGAGAAGGAAGGTCCAAGGAGGCAGAGAGGCTCAAAAGCAGCGCTGAAGTTTGTCAAGTGAGAAGGCAAGGAGATTCTTGAGGAGCTGGATTTGATCATGGAGGTGAGCCGCTGAAGGCTGATGAGGGTGACATGGCAGGAAGGAGTCTCGTCTGGGAGGCCTCTTCTCCTGCAATCTGATGTCACGTACAGGAAGTGGGAAGCTGGAGACTGTGGCAGTCAGGTAAGCAGTGAAGGGTCTGAACTAGTTGGATGGATGTGAGTGTACAGAGAAGTAGGATGACAAGTGGCCTTGTGAAGGAAGACCCTCCAGTTTGGTGGAAAAATAAGCACAGGGATAAGGGAGAGGCCTGACAGCTGATTTGGACCCCTCAAATCTCAGCAAACAGAGTGTTGGTGACAAGGCAGTCTAGGCCAGATTGTCTTTTGTGGGGCTCAGGCAGAGCTAGGCAACCAGTTTGGGACCACCCTTCAGTTGGAGTGACAGTGCCCCATGTCCTGGGAGAAGAGGCCCCAGGGCCTGGTCTGTTCCAGGCGCAGGAGCTTCAGCAACTCTCCCCTTGGACTTCCCCTCCCCTGCTAGGCCCCAGGGCCTCGAGCCCACAGTTGCAGGTCAACTTCAAGTTCTCTTGTCCATGTAGACCCCCAGGCCAGCGTCCAACCCTAGGCCTGTTGTGAAGGCCAGAATCAGATGCCTCTACCCAAGAACTGTGGAGCCCGATTTTCCCATGTGAGGTTGGCTACAGTGGCTGTAGACTCAGTGCCCATCTTGGCTGGCTGACCCTGACTCTCTCCCTAATCCTGGTTGCTTCCAGGGTACAGAGAGCCAGGCCCAGAACCTGGCACCCAGATGGCCTCCCAACCGGAGCCTGTGGGTGGAGGAGAGGAGGGGCCAGAGACATCAGCAGGAAGAGAACCCAAGTGCTTGCTTTCAAGGAACATCTCTGTCATCTCCCTGCGCCCCCTGCTGCCTTCTTCTCCCAACAAATCACATACCGATTCCTTTTTCAATAAAATTTTATTTCAAATCTTTAGTGAAGGTCTAACAAGAAAATATAAAGTGCTTGGCTTTAGGGTTGGGGGAAGAGGGAAAGGCCCCCTGAGTTCACACCATTTGGACTTTCCCAGTTCAGTTCCTCAGAGATGAAGGAGGGTGTATTTCAAAATAATAATAAAAAAAAGGATAAAAATCATCCTTGAGTTCCCCACCAGCCAGGGTACGTGAGGAGTTCAAGGACATAATCATCACAGACAACCATAGGCAATTATGAGTGAGGGAGGCCGGTCGACAACGTGGAGAATGAGTCTCTTTCAAAGGAGACAGGAGGAACAGAGAGGGGAGGAGGAGGGTGGGCTCCCCAGGCTCTGCACCAGGGACAGAGTGGCTGCCTGCTCCTCTGGAGTCTCCTCTAGTAAATGTCGGGCGAAGGCCTGCTCCATCTGCGCCAGGAGAGGGGACCATGAGCATGGGGGCGGAGGACACACTCCCCCCAGGAGCCCCTTCCCCAGGGAGGCCCCTTCTCCTCCTGGAACCCCACCCTCGCACACATAGGCATGCTATTCTGCTCCTGCCCCGAACTCACTTGCACTGTGATCAGACTCTCTGGGGTGTGGCTAGAGTCAGGGCTTTTCTCCCAGAAATTCAGTGTCACCTGGAACTTGGGTGGGGGACCCAGGCCTTGGAAGTACCTGGCCAAGTCTGAAAGAGAAAAGGTCAAGAGTGGGAAGAAAGAAAAGAGAAGGGAGAGGGCCACAGGCGGGGGGGAACAGAGAGGAACCTATAATGGAGAAAGAGAGGTGGGAGTGGGGCCACTTGGAGACCAACGCCGGAGCAGGAGCTGCAGGGTCACGAAGCTGCTGCCTTGCTCCAGAAATGCTAGCAACTAAGCTGCTGCTCGCCCGTGTACAAATAGGAAAAGGCGCCCCTTCCTTGAGTAAGAAGTATTTAGAGGCAGCCAAGTACACACAACCTGACAAGCTCTCTGTGGGGAGAGTTCAGAATCCCTGTGACAGCAGCCCTGGCTGCTAACACAGATGTGCCCACACCCTTGTTGCCTGCTCACACCCTCCCTAGGCACCCATGGCCCTGGCGATACACGCTCGGGTCCCCTATACTCCTGGCCCCCACTCCCAAGGTCAGAGTTAGAGATGAATGGAGGCAGGAAGTGGAATTCCAAGAGTGCAAACTGAGAGGACGCCTGGAGTGTGGTAGGGCCAGGGGGTGTGATGTGTGCCAGCTCGCCCAAATGTGTGGATGGTCATGTGTGCAACTGTGTATCTGGGAGAGGGCCACGAGGTGCACTGTCCCATGATTATTGTACATTTCCATGTGATGGTGCTCCCCAAGATGTAACACTCGTGTGCTGGGCTGCACCTGAGCCCGTCTCCTGCGGCCTTGGCTGGGGATGGACGGCTGCCAGGCAGCTGCCAGGGCTGAGCATGGGGCTCCTCAGGATGCTGTGCAGAGGCTGTGAAGGAGGATCTGCTGGAGGGAGCACAGGGTGCTGGCAGGGCCTACCAAGTCGGGCCCAGTGGGCACTAAGAGGTGGGGATAGGGGCTCAGGTGCTGGAGCACCTCACCTCTGCAGAAGTAGGCGGTCCTGAAGAGCTCCACGCACTCATTGCTGGGCAGCAGATGCGGGCCTGGACCAGGAGGGGCCTGGGGTGCATTCCAGGAGATGGGGATGGGGCAAAGGCGTTGCACGAAGAGGCCTCGGGAGTTGCTGGCCACCAGGACACCTCTCTTGAGCTGGCTCAGCAGGCGCTGGGTGGGCTCTCGAGGGCCAGGCTTGGGAAAGACCACCTGCTCCATGCCGCACTGGGAGCCTGAGGGCTCAGCCACGAGGCGGCAATCCAGGCTCTGCACTTGGGCCTCACCCACCACACGCCCACTGTAGATGAAGGTGAGCAGCAGCGAGTAGTCTGTGGCCAGCTGCACCAGAGCGTCTCCCCAAGGGTCCATCTGGTCAGCACGAGGTTCTGGGAAATCAAACAGGGGCTCCTTGCAAACCCACTGTCTTCATTTTGCTGCTGAGGGGTGTGAGGCCCAGAGAGGGAAGCCAAGCCAGGCCTGGGGAGGACAAGGCAGGCTGCAGGGGTGGGGGCAGGAGCTGTACCTTCTGAGGTTAGAGAAGGCGCCCTCCCTCCTCATCCTCACCCCCACCCTCACCAGCCAGGGGGCTTCCTGTCAGACTTTCCCATCACTCAGGAGAGTAGCTAATATACCGATTTCTACTGAGGCCTCAGGGCTTCACGTCCAGGGTCTTACAACTGACAAGAAGGTCCCAGAGATTGGGCCTTTGCTCAACCCACAGAACTCAGTGTCTCACAGTGATTTCCAGGGAACAGAGTATGTAGGGGGTATTTTTGAGAAGCACACTGTTTGGAGTCTGGAGTCCAGCCAGGTGCACTACCTGGACACCAGTGCCTCTGGTGTCCGGGGGCAGTCCAGGGAAGGTGGGCCCAGCTTGTGGCAAGTCTGACAGACTAGATAATGCATGCATAGCCACAGGAAGATGAGCTAGGGGGACAGGGGACAGGGATGAGTCAGAAACACCAAGTACCTGAGTCTTGAGAGGGCACAGGCTCCAGGCACACCTGATCTCCTTGGAAAGGAGCCTGATCTCCTTGGAAAGGAGCCTGATCTCCTTGGAAAGGAGCCTCAGTTTTGTCTGCACCTAGAAGGGGGCAGAGGCACATCATTCAGAGTTAGACTGGGATGTCCAAGAGCCAGAGGGTATGGCATGGGGATGACACACGAGGCAGGGCAGGTGGTACCTTCTTGAGGCTCAGGGCTGTTGCTGCTGCTGCTGCTGCTCCCGAAGTCTGAATGGCCTGAGCCCCCATCAGACCTCACCTCCTCCTGCAGACACAGGGTCTATTGTTGGCCACCTCTCCCCCTAGTTACTGGCTTGCCCTCAGGCCCACCCAGCTCCCTCCCCAGCTCTTACATTTTTGAGGGGGTCCTGGGGCAAGGAGGGACTGAGTATACAGTTCTTCTTGGCACCCTCATCCTCCTCTCTCTCAGAGAGCACAGAACTGTAGTGTCGCTTTGATGGTGATTTCTCGTTCCCTGGCTGGGCTGTGGGATATTGTCAAGGGGGAGAGAAAGGTCAGAGCCTTAAGTGGGGACAGAGTAGGGGAGAGAGCGGAGGCAGTGAAAGGATGGGCAGGACTGGCAGGGGACCCTGGGGAGCAGCTCCCCAAGGACAGGGATAGGGCGGAACTCTGACAAGGGTGTGGAGTGGGCCCGCTCTCCTCCCAGGAGGCTCCTATCTCCAACCTCCCTCCCCAGTCTGCTGATTCTAGGAGTGGTTGGGCAAGGGGACACTCACCAGGGAGGGTTCCTGGTGGCAGCAGCCGATACACCTTGTAGGGTTCAGCCCCATCCCGATGGCCATTCTCAGGAACCTCCTCAAATTCAGTACTCTTGTTGAGGGCACAGCGCAGACGGGTCTTCCAGATAGCAGGGCCTTCTGTATCCCCTTCCTTGTACTTCCCCTTAAATATTGCCCAGGCCTAGGAGACAGAGGGAGTGGAGAAGGGGTGTCACAGACCCCGGATGACCCTCCACTAGGGCTGGCTTCACAGATGTGCGGCCTGAGCACTTGCAGAGCCTGGACCGGGTTAATGCTCTGCTGTTGCCCTCTTGAAATCCTTAATAATTTTTGCATTTTCATTTGGCACTGGGCTCTGACAATTATGTAGCTGGTTCTACCCTCCAATTCCCCTTTATCTGAAACCCAGGCAGACGCAACGCCTCGAGGGCAAGAGCGCCAGTGCAAACTCCATCCTCACTGGAGGGAGGGGCTGGTTCCCAGGCCCTTTCACCTTGAAGAAGGCAGCATCCTGGTCCTCCCGGAAGTCCTGCTTGCCCGCATGCTTCCAGGGAATCCGGAACATGGTCTTCGCTGCATCATCCCAGCACACCCCTGGGAACTGCCCGCTCTCCACCTGTTCCACCACCCAGTTCCGGAGCTTTCGGGTGCAGCGCGCCCTGCCTGATGCCATCCTGAGGATGAGAGCAGCAGGAAGCATCAGTAGAAATGACACTTTGGGAGGGCACATCTGCTGAGATCCTGGCCATAGGGGTTGGATTCTGGCAAGGGGCCCGGGAGATCCCATCCATCTTTTGCCTCCAGACGTATCTCAAAATTCTCTGAGGCTGAATTGTTGTTTCTGCCATCACTAGAGATTACAAAAAATACATTCTTTTTAACATCCCACGCTTGACATGTGGAAGGAAACCTTAGACACTGGTCTTAATTTTAAGACTTTTCGGGAATCTATCATTTGGTGTTCTGTTCCAGGTGAGAGGTCTGTCTGGATCCCCAAGCATTTGCAGAGGCAGTATCTGCTTCTGAGGTGCCTCATCAACCCTCTTCCCCCACACCCCCACAACCCATCCTTTCACTCCCATCCCTCCCGTGTGCCCCAGGGGTAGGGGGGTAAGGAGCTGGGGGCAGGGGCGGAGCTGCAGCGGAAGTGGGCAGGGCCAGAAGGCAAGACAACAAACAGGGTCAAGTGGAGCCAGGGCAAAGAGCCTTCTCCCCTGAACACCCAGCGGGCAGGCCCTCCTGCCCTTTGCCTGTAGGGCTTGGGTCACCGGCCCCTGGTCAGTCTCTCACTCAAGCCAAACCTCCTGCTTCCTGGCTCACAGGCCTTCTGTTTATTCCCCAGTCTAGCAGGGTCCCCCAGGAACCCCTACATCCCCATCCTGCCCGGGCTTCCAGCCCTAAACCCAGGCTGACACCCGTCCTTGGCTGATCTTACCTGAGCTCCTGTGCAGGCTGTCCCAGGGCTCTGCTGACCTCAGCTCGGCTCCTGGCTAGGCAGCTTCCTGATCTCTCCGCCCCTTTCTACAGTCCCCACCCTAAGTTTCACTTCTTCTCCCCGAGGTCCTTTTCCCAGAAATCACGTGGTCCAGAGTTGCAGAGCAACTGGTCACCACCAGAGGGCAGCGGCATCTGATAATTTCACTGTTGGAATTCCACTGTGGAGATGCAGGAGGGCCCCGGGAGGCTCATTCCCCTTCCTCCCTCAGATACTCCTTGCTTGTATCTAACCATCTGTAATGCTACTGCTTCCCCACGGAGGCCACAGTGTCCTGGAGTCTGGCCTGGGACCTCTCGATAGCCCTGTACCACCTGTGCCTCTGTGTTCCCCCACAGTCCCTGCTTGGTGCCTATTAGGTGACCTCAAATATCAGCTGAATTTGATGAAAAGAAGGGAGGCAGGGAAGAAGGAAGCCCAGGACAGGGGGCTGGATGGGCAGGGCCTCTCTCGGCCATCCATGGTGTCAATTCCTTCCTGGACCCAAATCCAGGGAGGGTCAGGCGGTGGGCAGCAGGGGGCCCTTTCAGCAAAGCTCTGTTCACCCCCCTCTTTCCCTGGTGCCCCTAGATGGTGGGGCCAGGAAGAAGGACCACTAAGAAGCCTGGGCAAGGAGATGCCTCTTTATTGGTGCTGGAGCTGTTACTGAGGGAGCTGGGCCATGGGACCCTCATCAGGACCCTCGCCCTCAGCTACTTCCTCCTGCGGGGGATACTCTGTCCCAAGGGCACCTCTTCCATCAGCTTCTGCAGAAGGAGAGAGAAGATGATGATACTGGAAGCCTGGAGCTGAGACACAGGCAGGACAGCGGACTTCTAGAGCGTAGGGTCAGAGGCGAGGCTGGAGGGAGGCTTTACCTGTAACAAGCGGGTATGGTAGGCGGGGGCGTCCTCCCCCGCCAGCGGCTGGGGGCGCACGTGCAGGTAGCGCTCGGCAGCCGTCTCCAGCTCCTCCACGTCATACAGGGTGGCTGGGTCCAGTGAGTGGGCATTGATGAGGCTCACAAGATACTCTTTGTAGTGTGCCCTGGGGGAGATGAGAGGGCAGAATATTTGTTCTTCTGTTCTCCTAATATTAACTGAGTGTACTCAGCACCTTGCTGGGCACTGGCTTACTCGGACAAACAAGATTGATAACCCTTGCCTGTTGTACTTGTAGGTACTGCCAACCTGGGCAGGCTGCCTGCTACTACCTATCTGTGCCCGTGCCCAGAGAGCCCCCTCCCTCCCACTCCTGGAGGACCTGCTGCTCCCTAAGACCCACTTTACTGCCTGGCATACCCTCAGCACTCCTGTTCTCCTCCCCAAAACCAGGCTCCACGCCCTTCCTGGCACTCACTGGCAGAGGCCAGCATAACCAGCTGGCGTCTCCTTGCCACAAGCTTCGTCCCGGAGCCCATTGGGAACCTCCTTCTGCTCCATCACTCGGCAGCCACCTAAGTGTAAAGGAAGGAAGGGACCCTTTGTTGGGAGGAGGCCACTGACCACAAAACCCCAGGAGAACTGGGATATTGATGGAGGCATGGGAGGCAGCCTCCAGGGAGGGGACAGAAGACAGGAGCCCCTGCTCTAACAGTGGGAGTCCTTAGAGATGCCATCGCGGCAGATCAACTCTGACACAGAAGCAGGGACTTGCTGTCCCTGCTTTTATGCAAGCTGCTTTTGGCTCATAATCACATAGTCCCGAGACAGCTCTTTTGGTTGTGGTGCAGCTCTTGCATAGTTAACTTATTCTGTGAAGGTCTTACTCTATCTAGATGGCACGAAGCGAGGAACCATATATAACATCTTCCTGGGGCCGGCCCCATGGCTGAGTGGTTAAGTGCGTGCACTCCGCTGCTGACGGCCCGGGTTCGGATCCCAGGCGCACATCAACGCACTGCTTCTCCAGCCATGCTGAGGCCGTGTCCCACATACAGCAACTAGAAGGATGTGCAACTATGACACACAACTATCTACTGGGGCTTTGGGGAAAAAAATACATAAATAAAAATCTTTAAAAAAAAAAAAAAAAATCTTCCTGTTGCCCCCCATGGAACCTCAAATAGTGCAACTAGCAAGTCTCATTAAATACTCCTTGAGGTAACTAATAATGACTATTGTTTGGAAATGGGAGAAGAAAATTAGTAGGGAGGTGCTAGGGGCTTTAATGTGGCCTTGCCTAAAACAGCTTAGCTGCAAGGTGGATATTACTCCCATTTTACAGAGGAAGAAACAAGGCCAAGGAAGTTAATTAACCTGCCCGTGGGCACACAACAAGCAAGCACAGGACGGCTCTGAGCCCAGGTCTGATCCCAGACCAAAGCCTCCCCTTTACCCACCACACAGTGGGAGCCCAGCCCATCCTCCCTTCTCCAAGGCTTGTCCCAACACTCACCTCCAGGGACCGCCCGGGCCCCGGCTGGGGGCTCTGTGTTGAACATGACGTTATTGTCCTGAGGAAGGCAGACAGATGAGCGTTAGGATCCCCTGGATGCCAGCCTACCGATTCCCCAGCACAGAGCCTTTCCCTTCTTGCCACCCTGAGCCCTGCCTCCTCTCCTGGGCAACCTGCAAACCCAGCCAGGGTGGCCACCCGTGACCTGTAGCAGCTTCTGGAGTCGGAGAGCAGTCCAGTCCCGCAGGTAGAAGAGGCAGTCTCGGGGGTGGTGGCCGTGCAGGGACTTTTTCACCCTGCAGTTAGGGTCTGGACATTTCTGGTGGAGAAGCCAGATGGGAGAGGGGAAGTTGGAGACTGTTGGGGTCCTGGTCTCTCAGGAACCCCTGCGTGAGGGGGGGGGAGTGGGGGATGGAGACACTGGAAGGTCTGGAGCAAGCAGAGGGGGAGAGGGGACAGAGAGAGGTGCTTCACACCCCACTGGCCTCTTCTCTTCCACTGGGCCACGCACCTCCATGGCCTCTGCCCCTCACACCCAATGGCAGCCCCCGCCCTTCTATCCCTTCCATCCCTTCCATCCCCATTCTCTGGGCTCACATTCTTGGCGTAAAAGGCATTGTAGCAGCCACTGCAGAACTCATGGCGGCACTGGGTACAGTGGAAGTGCATGCAGCCTCCTCGGGCCAGTGCGTACGAGAACTTGCAGTTGGGGCAATCTGCAAGGGACAACAGGTCAGGGCTGGGGCTGCCACTGTTCCTCGAGGCCCTCAGGAGCAGTGGGGCAGCCTTACCAATGCCATTTTCCTGAAGATACATTGCCAGGCCCTGGGCCTGGTATTCTGGGTCATTGTTGCGTTTCCAGTTCTGGAAATCCTCGCAGCTCCGGCCTCGGTGCTGCTCCTCCCACTGCCGGCAGGAAAGCAAGCTTCACATGCAAGCTCCATCCCAGGCCCTTCTTGCTGGTCCCTCCACTCATATCCAGTGGTCCCTGGCTTAGTTCATGGCACTGCCATCCACCGTTTGCTTAAACCGCACACGGAGGGGCAGCCTCAGTTCTGTCATTTCCTCATGCTACCGCAGAGTCACATGCAAGTCTTGCTTCCACCACCCGAGCCTGTCTCAACCCTGCCCCGTTTCTTCCTCCCTATTGTGACCGCCCTACTCCGGGCCGGTCAGGCCTTGCCTCAGTTACCTGCCTCGGTTACCTGTCTCTCGGCCTCCCACTCCTGCTCCCTTCTCCACCTGGCAGCCGAAGTGCCTTGGAAAGCACAAGTCAGGCAGCTTCAACAGTGTTGGGAGCATTCTAGCTTTCAGGTTTGGTGGGAGGGTCTCAGGTGTTCATCTCATTATCGTGTTTCATAAAACAGATGCAACTTTTTGGTATCAAATATTAAGCTGCTTTTTTTTTTTTTTGTGAGGAAGATCAGCCCTGAGCTAACATCCATGCTAATCCTCCTCTTTTTGCTGAGGAAGACCAGCTCTGAGCTAACATCTATTGCCAATCCTCCTCCATTTTTTTTTTTTTCCCCAAAGCCCCAATAGATAGTTGTATGTCATAGTTGCACATCCTCCTAGCTGCTGTATGTAGGATGCGGCCTCAGCATGGCCGGAGAAGCGGTTCGTCGGTGCGCGCCCAGGATCCGAACCTGGGCCGCCAGTAGCAGAGCGCACGCACTTAACTGCTAAGCCACGGGGCTGGCCCCAAATATTAAGCTTTTTAAAAGGTAACTGAGATAGTATCACCCCTTGCTGAGTCTTAGAATGAAAGGCAAATACCTTCCTCCCTCGGCCTCACGGCCTCTCCTGATCTGGCAGCTGGCTCCTCTCCCACCACCTGCCACTCTCACTCCTGTTCTAGAGGCTCCAGCCACACATTTGTTCTGACTGTGGCCCTTCCATGTGTGGTTCTTTCTGTCCCGAATACTTTGCGTAGCTGGCTTCTTCTTAACTTTCAGGCCTGAGCTTAAATTAAACCATTTTAGAGAAGACTTGTCTGACCTCTCTATCCTAAGTAGGTATATTCCGTTATTTCTTTTTTTTTTTTTTTTTTTTGTGAGGGAGATCAGCCCTGAGCTAACATCCGTGCTAATCCTCCTCTTTTTGCTGAGGAAGGCTGGCTCTGAGCTAACATCTATTGCCAATTCTCCTCCTCTTTTTCTTCCCCAAAGCCCCAGTAGATAGTTGTATGTCATAGTTGCACATCCTTCTAGTTGCTGTATGTGGGAGGCGGCATCAGCATGGCTGGAGAAGCGGTGCGTCTGTGCGCGCCTGGGATCCAAACCCGGGCCGCCAGTAGCGGAGTGCGCGCACTTAACCGCTAAGCCACCGGGCCAGCCCCTATTCCCTTATTTCTAATCTCAGATTCCTATTTGTTTTCTTCATGCCTATGTGTAAGTGTGCTCTCTCTCCCTCCCTCCTTTCCTTCTTGCTTTGCCTCCCTCCCTCACCATTCCTTTCTCTTTTCCCTTACCTTTCACACCTCCTCCCCCTTCATCCTTCCTCCCCCTCCCTCCTTTATCTCTGTTCCTCCCTCATCCCTCCTTCCTCTCCTCCTCCTCCTTTCTCCTCATCCTCCTCCCTCCCTCATCCCTCCTCCCCATCTCTCCTCACTCCTTCTCCCTCCTCCCCCATCCCTCCTCCCTCCCCCTCATCCTTCTCCCTCTTCCCACTACCCTTCCTCCTTCCTCCTCCATCTTTCCTCCCTTCTCCCTCCTCATCTCT